TGGCCTTTAAAAAATATTTTTATTTTATGTATGTACAAGTGTTTTGCCTGCGTGTAAGTGTACCCATGTGCACCCTCCACAGTGTCTGAGGAGGCCAATAGAGGGCAGTGGATCCCCTAGAACTGGAGTGACTGACAACTGTTAGCCACCATGTGGGTGCTGGGAACCAAACCCAGGTCCTCTGCACCAGTACTCTTAACTGCTGAGCCATCTCTCCAGCCCCAGGTTCTCTGAAAACCACTGCTAAGAGAGAATATGCCAGACCTGGTGGTGAACACCTGAAATCCCAGCACTCCGAAGGCTGAGACTGGATGACTGCTGCTTGCCACAGTCACCACAGGCTGGGAACAAACTTTCCAAGGTAAGTCAAACTTTAAGGTCAGCCTGGGCTACATAGTGAGTTCAAGGTCAGCCTGAGATATATATAGAAAACTTGTTTCAAAAGAGAGGGAATATGCTGGTTGACATGTAGAATTGTCGTTGGGTACATTACATGCATTCACAGTAGTAGTGAACTTAGCCCAGTGCTAAGGTATGCAGAGGCCTTTTATCCTGATAGAAACTAGTCCTTTCCATTTTCTTTCCTAGGCACCCAGGCTGGGGATGGGCTGGTACTCATTCCGCTACCTATTGCATATCGCAGGGCTGACTTGCCCAGCTAATAGGCTCACAGCAAAGTGGAGGTGGAAACTCTAGCCATGCGTGTGCCTGCTGTGCAGACAAAAGGAACCAAGGCCGCAGCAGAAGCTCCAATTCTACACAGCCTTTTTGGCAAGACAAGAGCACTAACCGGAAGGCTAGCAGAGCTGAGCCAATCCTACCTGGAGCAGGGCAGTGGACAGGACCTTGTGAGTCTTGTGTAGCCCCTACATCCAATTCTGAGACTCCAACAGTAACAAACATTAAAATGACCCGTCCCTCATTCAGTGTAATTATTCTTTGGCTTAAAGGGGCTTTTTTGAATTTGCTTTTGAAATTACTCAACTATGAGTAACTCAGTTTATTACTGGCTATGATTTCAATCATCTTGCATATTCTGGAGCTTTTGCCAAAAATCCAATTTACAAATTGTTTTCAAATATAATGACATTTGTATGGATACAAAATGTAACAAATATTGAAGCTGGCATACTATTTTCTGAAGGCATTTGTCAGTTTCTATTTATTTTTTTCATATTTTGCAGCCCTCCAAGTTCCAGGTCTCCAGCTTTCCTTGAGCCTTTGAAAGTCCACTCTACCCCCTACAAAGGTCAAGTTTGCAGTCAGAGAACCAGGGCTCCCAGGATGCCCCAACTCAACACTGTAGGCAACCCCATGGGGTCCAAACCATTCACTCCAGACCAATGACCAGACAGTGTTACACTGAGCAACTTTATTCCCATTTCCAAAACAAAACGATTTGTTAAATATTAGATTAAATGTGACCTAATGTTTAAAGTTCTATCGGACTTTCCAAAGAATTCACCAGTGAGGCACTACTGTGACAGGGTCTGGATGGGCATGCCAATTGCAAGGACTGGGAACAGTGTAGACTTTACTCTGGGCCAGCCCTAGGACAAGGAGGCAGGTTCTTTTGTTGTTTCCATGTGCATTTTAAAGCAGAAATTTTAAAAATAAGCCACTATTCTCATTCTCCTACCCTCTAAGCAAGAGGCAGTTACAGTCCAGGAAGGTGGTAAGGTGCTGTCTCCCTTAGGAATGAGTCCCCACTCACTTCCCAAGCAGGTCACAAGGAGGGACTGGCAGGGGGACAGCAAGGGAGGCCTGCACCATTATTTACTTACGTGTGTGCACATATGCCACAGTGCCCACATGGATGTTAGAGGACAACTTTCAGAAGCCCATTCTCTCCTTCCACCACATGAGTCCTGATGATCAAACTCAAGTCATCAGGCTTGGCAGCAAGCACCTTTACCTGCCAAGCCATCTTGCTGGCCTAGGCCTAGTTTTTCTTAACAGGGAAGAGTCATGACCTTGGTCCATGGTGAATTACCAGGAGGCAGAGCACAGTAACTTAATTCATATAGATTACCAATCAAATTTGAAAGACATGTTAATTTAAAATACAAAATTATACATATATAATCACAACTCAAAAACACCATTTGAGTGCAGAGCATGATGGTAAATACCTACTTATGTAACCCAGCACTGGGGAGGCTAAGGCAGGAGGATCTTGAAAGCCAGCCTGAGCTACAGAGGGAGACCTCGCGTCAAAAACAAGCAAAAATGCCATTGGGCACAGAAAGATGGCTTAGCAGATAAAAACACTTGTCACCAAGGCTGATGACCTGAGTTTGACCCCGTGGGACCCACGTGGTAGGAAAGAACTGACTTTAGTATGAATATATGAAATGTCTCCAACAGGCTCAAGTATTTGAACATGTGGTATGTGCTTCCCCACCTGGTGGCGCTGTTTAGGAAGGTTATGGAGCCTTCGGTGTGGTCTCGCCAGCGGAAGTCACTGGGGGTGGCTTTGAGAGTTCACAGCCTTGCCCAGCTTCCAGTTTCTCCTCTGCTTTCTGTGTGTGCTTAAGGATATGAGCTCTCAGTTTCCTGCTCTGGCTGCCTGCTGTCGTGCCTCCCCTGCCATCATGGACTCTTAGCCCTCTGGAACTGTAAGCCCAAATAAACTCTGCCGTCTATAAGTTGCCTTGGTCATGTTTTATCAGAAAAGTAACCAATGCACAACTCTTGCAAACTTTACTTTTACTTATACATGGTGTACTGTGTCATGTGTACACACACACACACACAAATAAATATATGTAGTAAAAATACACAAAAACTGGAATGAAAACATAAATATGTAAAATGTATTCATGTACATACACTGTGGGTATACAATAAACACTTGGTGGAATGGGCTTTTTCTCTAATTTCCTTCATCCTCAAAAGTTCCTGAAATTTTTTTCATTTTACATAGAAAAAGTTACCATTTTCAGATTATTGGCTCTTGGGCTGGTATAGAGCTCAGTGGTAGAGAACTTGCCTAGTATGTAAGATTCTATGTCCAACTCCCAGTACTGCAAAAACAAACTTTTTAAAGATTTTTAAAAGATTCATGGGGCTGGAGAGATGGCTCAGTGGTTAAGAGCACTGGCTGCTCTTGCAGAGGACCTGGGTTTGGTTCCTAGGGCCCACATGGCAGCTAGTAACTGTCCATAACTCCAGCTCCAGGGGATACAACACCCTCTTCTGGCCTCCATGGGCATGACATGCACAGGTTTACTTCCATATATGCAAGCAAAACACTTATACACATAATTATTTTTAAGTTAAAAAAGATTATTCATGCTGGGTGTGGTGACGCACACCTATAGTCCCAGCACTTGGGAGGCAGAGGCAGGCGGATCTCTGTGAGTTCAAGGCCAGCCTGTTCTATATATTGAATTCCAGGACAGCTGGGGCTACAAGGAGACTCTGCTTCAAAAAGACAAAAAAGGGTGGGGGAGAGAGAAATGTGAATTCTTACTTAAAAGAGGGTAGATACAAAGATTTATCACTCTTGACAAATACTTGAAAGAAATTTCTGACAAACTGAAAACCAAAATCAAGTTGGTGAAAAACTGGAGAGGTTGCTAAGAAACATTTCATTAGTAAAATGCTTAGGTGCTCAGCACAGAGAAAAACTGGACAAGAAAACAGAACAAAGGATTTGATTAAATGACAAATATAGGGAATGAATAGGGAGTTCTCAAGCAGGAAAAGTCCTCCAAGTTGGCATGAGACAGGTCGTGCTTGCTTTCAAGGGATGGTCTAGAAAGATCTCCTAAACCTGCTTGCCTGATTTATGAAAGTCTGCTCTGTTACCCCTAATGGGGGAGAGGGGGTGGAGGTTGGTAAGATATAGAGAACCCTAGCACAGAGCTGCTCTCCATTCTGCAGTGGCTGTCTCTCTAGCCTTAAGTTGGTGCTGTACAGCCTTCTGCTCTTGCCCGAGCTCCAGCATTCAGTTCTGATATGTAAACAGCTAAATGAATTGGCTAGCTACCATCAGGAGGCAGAAGTGTCCCGTCCTCCCCCACCCCCACGCTGGGGCCAGATGCAGATGGGCCTTCCTGCCTGCTCAGAGTCGGGGGAGGGGCAGAGCTGCTGCCAGCCTCTAGGGCTCCCAGCCAGACCCCATCACACATGCCATTCTGAGGCAGCCAGCCCCTAGGCCCTCTCCACCCAGCATCAGCTGTGGCAAGCTTCTCCCTTGTCCATCCAGCACCGTGTGCAATCCAAAGCATATTCCACTTCCCTTCTTACATGGGCAACAGACTCTACCTATCTTGGTGGCAAGAAGGTGCTCCACAAATTGCACTGTGGACAGGATGGAAACTGAGTTGCTTAGGGCTAGATTCAGAACACAGGCTGCTCTAGCTCCCCGCAACACAATCTGTCAGGGAGCTGGCTGGTTTGTGTGTTACCACCTTTGAATCAGAATCCAAAGGAGGGACCCAGAAAGGGCACTTTAAACAGACTCCCTAGAAGGTCCTGCATGTTTGGAAGCACAGGCCTCAGGCAGGTTGTAAGGGTATGTGCTCCCTTCTACCACGCTGCCCAAGGAGGCTAGAAGTGCACCAGAGGTACAAGGTGGAAAGGGTGACATCCTTGAATCTGGAATGACAGGGATATACCATAGACCTAGGGCCATGTGCCCCCTTCAGAAGGGGTAAGCTGAATGAGGGCTCAATGGGCATCTCATCTTTCCTATGGCTCCCTCGGTCAGTGTATAAGTGTGCTAACACACTTCACCCAAGTCAGGCCACTTCTCTCAAAATGTGCTAGACTTCACCCAGTAGCATACACCTGTAATCCCAGCACTCAGGAGGTAGTGGCAGGAGGATCACAAGTTTGAGTTTGAGGGCAGTCTAGGTTACAGAGGCCATTTTTCAAATCAAAAAACAAAACCATAAAAATGTGCTGTCTTCCACCCCGAGTGCCTCTGACCCCAACCTCTACCAGCCCACAGCCCTCCCTCTCCCACTCCGAAAGAGACCCAACATGCCTCGTTACTTAAATAATATTTATTTCTCATGCACTAGGAAAGATGGGTCATACAAAACACTGCTTTTCACAGCAAAGGCCTCGGTCCAGAAACACTGCTTTTCACAGCAAAGGCCTCGGTCCAGAACATAACACAAGGGGCCTGCTGGGATCTGGATCTGGTCAAAGACCCGGAGAACCCCAAATGGGGTATAACCCCCCCAGAACTAGTGGCAGACCTAGCATCCTCCAGCTACAGTAGCCCCACACACAGCCCAGGGCAGCTGTCCTGCCCACAGAGGCACAGGAAGCTGATCCCAAAGAAGCACATGGACTCGGAACGGAGGAGGCTGATGGGCAGTGACTTGGCAGAGGCAACGATCCAGCCCTCAGGGCACGCCTCCAGGGTCCTGGCTGAACAACCCCAAGCCCAACTCTGCCCAACACAGAGCTGCTTGAACTCCACAGAGCCTCCTGGGCAACCAGTACCCACAGCCGAAAGGAACAGGACCCACCTGACTGCCCCTCAGCCACATAAACAAGACAGGGAAGCTGACTTCAGCTCTAGCCAAAGCCTGGATTTGCCCAGGCAGGACTTCAGAGGCTGAAGAGGCCAGCTCCACACAACCATTCCAAGCCCCTGTGGACATTGAAGACACCATAAGACAGCCAAGTTTCTGATGGTCCTGGGGCAGGGTCACTAACTAACAGGGCCAGCCCTTAAAACTCAGCCATCAGATGCCACCACAGCCAAGACAACAGTGAAGTGGATTCCTAGACTTGCTTTCACTGAGGTGGCCACAGGGCCAGGACATGGTCAGAGACATGCAGGACAGAAATGAAGAATGGAGACATGCAGAGACCACACCAGGTGGGAGGGGTCTGAGAACAGACGCAATCAAGGCGATGAGATGAGGCGAGCACTGCATGGACCAGGTTCACTAAGGCCCCGGGCTCATGACGATGCCCACCTCCTCGGGAATGGTCTCCAGCATCTCACTCTGGACGGCCTGGGTGATAAGTGCCAGTTCCTGGCACAGGGTCTCATGGCGGTAGCCTACTCGGATGTCTGGCACATTGGTGCGACGGATGTCGTTGCCCTCAGGGCCCTCCTTGGTATAATTGGGCCCCAGCCAGTGGCTCTTTACCTGCAGAGGGTGTAGGTAACAAGCAAGGCTGCAAACAGCTCAACCATCCTAGGTTCAAGTCCAGGACCCCAGATGCAGAGGGAGGGGGGTGATGCCCAGCCCCAGGAAGGTGGGTACAGTACCTTGTGAGAGAAGCCACTCATGAGCACACTGTTGCGAGCCAGCTCACACATGTCACAGGAGCTGAGCTTCCACACCTGGGTGGCAATGCTGTACTCCTCCATCAGGGGTTCCTGCAGAGGCCAGGTTCCCTCAGAGAGGCACCAGGCCCTTGCCGCCTCTCTCTCCCTTACTAGTTTAATTGGCTTCTATGTTCCACCAGCAGGGGGCAGCACCAACCCAGAGAGAGCCCAGTGTCCCAGGACACCCACACCTAGCTGCCTATTGGGCTCTGACCTTGGTGAAGTGGAACTGCAAGGGATCATCAGTGGACAACGAGACCATGAGGCCTCGGGACAGGTACTCAGGTAGAGGGTTCCGGTGGTAGCTGAGGAAGAGGCTGTTGTTGCTGAGAGGTGACATGGCAATGCCAATCTGGGCCAAGTAATATAGGTACTGCAGGACAGGGGCCTGGGCAGACAGGAAGGAGAAAGGGAGGGCCTGTCAGGTGGCTGCTTGGTACTGGGGGGAGGGGGCACAGAACACAACGACCCACTCGGCCAAGTCATGACAATGGTGAGTGGGGAGTTGCAGCCAGAATCCAAGATGGGGCCCTATCTGGAGGCTGGGTGGGAAGTTCTAGTTACATTGGGAAGGAGGACTTCAATCTCAGGGCTGGGTGAGGAGGAGGATTGTGGGCTGAATGGTTCAAAGGAAGGCAAACAGCTGCATAAGGTGGCTGAGGGTGTAGACCCTGACCTTGCGTAGAAGCAGCCCGTGGGAGATGTTCTCAGCCAGCATGAAGGCTGACACCAGGTGGTGGATGGGTCCAGCCTCCCCACAGTGCGGCCTCAGCACAAATGTGTGGAAGCCCCTCTGCCTGGAAGTACAAAGGTAAAAATCAGTTCCAGAGCTTGGGCACACCTGAGCTCACCTGAGCCCAAGTCGCATCCCAGCACACATATGTGGGGGCCTAGGACAGAAGATGGGGGTAGATTCTTGACTGGAAGGGATGAGAATGAAACGTAAAGGTAGAGAAAGAGTTAGCCAGTCTGTGCACAGGGGCAATAAATAAGTGGGTCAGGGCTCTAGTGGCCCAAGCCCAGGGTACCTACAAGCAAAGCCAGCAGAAATTTGGCACTAGGGGAGTAGGCACCTGCGTAGGTGGTTCAACATGGCCATGTTGGCGAAGGTGTAATACAGGTAGTAGGCATAAGGTGGGTTGTCCTCCTCTACCCAAGCCTCTGGGAGGGGGCTTTCCAGGTTGAAGACGTGGTTCTCTGGCTTGGACTCATCATCCACGCTGTCAAAACCATCCACCTGGCACAAGAGCTGGTGGTCAGGCCCAGAGCCACAGCTGGATCTGAGCCCAGCCATTCTGCCCTCACCCAGCCCTTGCTGCTGCGCACGTGTTCCAAAAAGAGGTGCAGCTCTGGGTGGCTGGCAGGGTGCACAGTAGCCTCAAACAGTGGCAAGAAGATGTTCTCCAGCATCTCTTGGAAGTTAGCCAGCTGGCTCTTGGTGCGGTACACATCACTGCAGGAAGATTGCACATAAGCATATGCAGGTCAGAGCTGGCAGGAGGAAACCCAGCAGGCAAGTTAAGGGGCACAGCTGGCATAAGCACAGGACCATGTGTGAACCACACTGGAAAGGCAGGACATCCAGGTGGGCCAGGCTGCACAGACTATGGGTGGGCCTGGGAGGCTCCTCCTGGCACTCAGAGGGCCCAGATTGGCTACTTAAGGCTCAGCCACCCCAGTAGGGCAGGAGGCAGGCCCTGGCCCTGTGAACATAGCTATAGGGCTTCCTCCAACTGCAAGATACACTCACAAGAGGCGGGGCACCTGCACCAGCCAGCGCACGTTGGGAGAGTGCACTCGGTGCATCACAGCCCAGCGTGCTAGTTTGTCCCACTCATCCCTGGAACGTCCATAGATAGAGAGTCGCAGTTCTGCATTCTGGTATTTGCTCTCTTCCAGGTCTGACATCACCTCCTAGATACAGGAAGCAATCACACTTAGGCTCTTCCCTGCCCTCTGTGACTCCACCACATGCTCATCAGGCCTCTCCCCCTTTCCCCCTGCCACTTGAGCTCCCAGGCTCTCAGCTCTTACCTTGATGATGTGAGCAAAGTACTTCCCAGACACCCTGTTATCAGTCTTGATAAAGATCTCTCGGAGGACGGACTCTCCAATAGGGTTGTATTTGGCATTGAATTTGTCAAAGCGATGAAAGGTGTTCCTATCCTGGGGAAGATGGGCAGGCCCAGGTCACTCTTGATCCTGGGCCCTTGCACTGACCCAGCACCCCAGCCCATGCCAGGAGGACGGACCGCATGCACATCAAGTGTGTCCACACTCAGGTCATAGGCAGTGAGATTCATGCTCTCGAAGACCTCCCGCAGCGTCTGCTCACGACCCTGCTCAACGTGCACAATCTCCTCCAGGTGTCGCTTCATCGCCCGCTTGATGAAGCGTAGCAGATGCTTCTGGTTCATGCAGGATGAGGCATGAATGTGTGTGTCCACCTGCAGAAGAACAGGGCTGTGGGGTCCATCCGAGGCCAGGGCCTTGGGGCTGGAGAGATGGCTCAGTCAGTAAAGTGCTTGCTATTCAAGCATGAGGACTGCAACTGGGATCCCCAGCACCCACATAAATGCCCAGTGTGTGTGGCATAATCCTAGCATGTGGGAGGCAGAGATAGGGAATCCATAGAGTAAGCTAGTTAGCTAGACTAACTAAAGTAGCAAGCTCTGGGTTCAAACAATCGACTCTACTTCAACATATAAAGTAAAAAGTTGGTCAAGGAAGACATCCAATGCCAATGAGTGGGCGCCACACACACACACACACACGCACACACACGCACAAATGCAAAAAAAAGGGGGTAAGATGGCTCAACAAGTAAAAGTACCTGCTATCAAGCCTCACAACCCAAGTTGATCCAAAAAACCCACATGGCACAAGGAAAGGATTCCCATAAGTTATCCTCTGACTTCCACATCTGTGCCATGGCATATATGCACCCACATCCATACACAACATAAATAAGTGTAAAAATGTAATCAGTTTCTTCAAGGAAAGATCCAGGGCCAGAGCAGTGGGTGGGAGAGAGCTCTCCATACTGGATGCTGGGTGAGACCCAAGTTCTAGAGGGAGGTACAGGACAGGACAGAGACTATAGGCTGAGGGCCCACCTTACGGATGTTGTAGAAGTCACGGTGTGGCACTTTCTTCTGAGCAGCCAGCTCCTTCATCTCATTGAGCAGCACATGCATCTGGAATTTGGAGCTCAGATACTGCAACCGGCGGTAGCAGAATGACTTTCTGGGCAAGAGGAAGGAAGAGGGCAAGGCAGAGACTCAGGTCCTGAAGGAGGCACCTGGGAGTGAAGGGAAGAGGCAAAAGCATGCAGCACTAGTCTGCCAAGAAGGCAGCAGATGAGGGGTTGGTGGCCAGGGAGTGGCAGGAAACAAGGTTGACAGTTGTCTGGGGTAGGGCAGGGCAGAGTAGAGCAGAGCCGGGCAAGGCTGGGGCTGGAGAATCTGGGCTGGGAGGTAAGCTGAATGGGACAGGTGGAAACTCACATGGGGCCATTGATAATCAGGGCCATGAGCACATTGACGTCAGCCACAAATTCCTGTAGGTCAGGGTATGGTAGCTCCACCTCTGGGCAACTAGCATGTTGGGGAGCTTGGGTGAGGAGGGCTAGCCAGGCCCTTGGCCCCACCCAAATCAGTACGCTGTCCCACATGGTATCCCCAGCATACACCACACCCCTCTTACTGCTCATCAGGTTCCCTGCGGGTGTAGACGTGCACTACACCACGCACCATGCGTAGACCCAAGCCCAGGTCCCCAGGCATGGTGCTTGGCTCACAATGTTCATATGGGTGCTGCTCCAGCACAGGGGGGTGCACCGGGGCATCTGCAAGGGTGGGAAGGTGGAGTCAGGACCAGGGCTCTTCCAGGTCAGCAGCTGCCCAGCCCAAGGGCTCCACAGAGGGCAGGGGGCATCAAGGACCCTAACAGGGCAGTTATGGCCCCAACCTCCACCCTTCTGGGTGTCAAGAAGCTGGAAAGAGTCTGGGTGTGGGGATATATAGGCAGGGCAGAAGTGTCTGGGCCCCAAGCACAGAGGTCCAGGGCAATTGGGGTGGGGAGGGATGGGGACTCCCACCAGCAGACACAGGGGTGTCCGGGCTCTGCTCGTAGGTTCGAGTCTCCAGGGGCTTCTCAGCCAGCTGCTGTAAGTAGCGGCGGGTGGTGGGGCAGAAGCTCTGCAGTGACAGGGCCATGTATTTCTCCCGGATGAAGAGTGCCCGCACCACACTCTTGGCTGCATCTAATAGGTCTGTGAATGGTACCTGGAGACCAGGACAGGTAGTTTCCTAGATCTCTGTCAAACTCAGACTTATGCTTCCTTCCTCCCTGTGGTCATCCCAGACCTCACACTGCCCCTGTTCCCCCGCTCCCCTGGCCCAAAGGCCTCAACCCCAGAGACACCCAGCCCAGCGTATTAGTGAACTCCCAATCAGACACTTTGCCATTCCAGGTGACAGCAAAATACCCTCTCTAGCTCCCACTAACTCCCCAGGCCTGAGCCCACTAGGATATCATGGATGGAGCCCTAAGACTCTATCTCATATACTCACCCCACACTTTTCCTCCCCAGAGATGGTGACCCTTTGAAATTCCCGTTCCAGCACCACATCACGCTCCCAAAGACCCCTGTCACCCTGCCCCTCACTTTGCTCCTTGTAGAGCCTATGGGTGGGGAGGAGACAAACAAGGGTTGGAGACTGCCACAGACAGTTCCCAGCTCCACATCCCCTGTGTATGCCCCTCTGCCCTTCTCACTGTAGGTCCGAATCACTGTCAGTCTTCAGGAAATCTTGCTTGGCCCGAAGCAGGATGTCTGGTTCCAGCCTAGAAGTGAGAGAAGCAAAAGATCAGGCAGAGCAAGAGCGGTAGCTCTAGGTCCTGGCACTGTGCTAGGTGCTGTGCACATGTTGTCACATGTAGTCCTCACAGGCAGGGCTGGGGGACCCTGGGCTGTTCTCATCCCACTACAGAGATGAGAAAGCAGCTCCAGAAGGTATCCTGCAGACTCATGGACACAGCAGTAGCCTGGCTCCAAAGAACATGCTCTATGTTTACCATCCAAAGGCAGGACAGGACAGTAGCAGGCTCACTTGACATCCTGGCTGATCTGCCGCTCCAACCGCTGCCTTCGCTCCTCCAGCTGCTCAATAGGACTCTCCTCTGGGAACTCATAAGGGGCGCTACGTAGCTCACTCTCAGCCAGCGAGCGGCTGAACAGCTCCTGGTACAAAGAAGGGAAGGAGGAAAGATCAGGCAGTCTTGCCTTCAGGCAGCCTGCCCTGCCCTCCCCTGCAGAGTCTGGGCGTGGGATGTGAGCCAGTGGGCAGCAGGAGCTGAGGTTCCTGGGAAAGACTGAGGATCAGAGACAGCCAAGCGTGAGAGGTGGCTCAGGTGGAGGGGCATAGGAAAGAGAGGCAGAGTGCAAAGTGAGGAGGTGTGGGGGTGCCAGGTGATACCTCGGCGATCTCCTTGCATTTGCCATCCATAGACGTGCGAAGGTCGAGCGGGAAATGCTTGAGGCAGGGGGCGGGGCCCGGCAGGGATCGGGCAGACTGCAGCGGAGAGGCCCCCAGACCACCCCGAGCCTCTGCAGAGACAGTGATGCCAGGGTCAAGGAGAGAAGGGGTAGGGTCCAGATGCCCCTAGAAGCAAGGGCCCCTTCCTGCCTTGGGTCCAGCCATTATTAGAGGCTAGGTCCTAGGCACTAGAAAATCCCTCCACAGAGGGGTCAGTCATCCCAAGGGTACAAATGGACTCAGTCACCTCTCTAATGAGAACTTGAAATGGGGAACCAACCCACTCCCTCAAATCAGGGGAATCTGCATGTGATTATTTCCCAGAAGGGTGCATACATGTGCGCATATACACACACATACATGCACAGACACACACCAGGCACTAATTAAGGCCACACCAAGGACCCCCAGCTTCCAGCGTACTAACTGAAGATCAAATCCACCCCTGGCCTGACAGATCCTTCACTGAGGACAGGGCCCTGCCTGTCATCCTAGACGGGCTAAGCACAGGGAGGGTACAATCATCACCAGCTCTGACCTGAGGGGCAGCTCTCAAGGAAGAGGAAGAAGACCTGGTTGGCAGGGAATCCTGTCTCCCTCTGGAGGCCTATCCTCTCCACAGGACCCCAGAGCTGCCAAGAGGAGGCCCCATCCCTGGCTGGCCCTCCCACTGCTGGCTGCCCCTCCAAAAGGAGCTGCCACTAAGAGTTTGCGCCACTTAGAGGCCCCAGGATCTGGGTCGGAGGCCCTGTGGAGGGCTCTGGGGAAGAGAATATTGGAAACTAGGGATCTTTCTACTCTGACAATGGCAGAGCTCTTCATGGGTTCTACCAAGAGGCTAACACTAAAGGCATGAAGCTATTAGTCTTTTGGGCTGCCAGAGCTCCTAGCCCACCAGGAAGGACCCTCCCAGAGTCCTTCAGCAGTCTCAGCCTCCCCTGTAGGAAACTGTCCACCAGCTGTCCGCCATCTCAACTGTGGAGGGCGTACCCCTCCAGAAACCCCCCTCCCCTGCCTTAGGAAAGGACTAAGGCTCTGTCTAGATAGTATGCCTTTAGGTCTCTGTGCCCACTTCCTAATACTTCAGGTATGGTCCCAAGGCTGGACAAAAGACGAGGGAGGTGCTTACCCTAGATCAGGACTAAGTCCCTTGCTTGCCTTGGTCCCTGCTGGAACCTCTCCCCACCTGCAGAGTTCAGAATGCTCTGGGCAGCAGCCCTGTGCCCCTTGCCTGCCTGTTTGCCTTGAGAAGCTGTAGCCAGTCCCCCAGGACAGCTCAGGGGCCGGCACGGGCTGTACCAAATGCAGCTGCAAGCAGGGGAGACCCTGGGATGGCCATGAGCAGGGGGCTGGGGGAGTTCAGGGGAGTCTAGAAATCCAGGGAAGGAGCAGGAGTTGGGAGATGAGAAGCCCAGTGCTAACAGGGTCTTAACCTCTTCAGCGCCAGGGAGGCCCAGCCAGACACAGGGCTCAAGAAGGAGAATCAAGACAGACTGATATGGCCAGGGCAGGCCAGCAGGGAGGAGCCAAGTCTCCTTAAAACCACAGCCCTAGGGGACAGAGAGTGGACACTGCCTGGCTAGCCAAAGGGTAGGAGGAGAGAGAAGCCACCCTCCCTTCTCAACCTTGCAGCCCCAGGCCAGCTTCCTCTGGCCACCACTGTCTTTTGGCCCTGACTATGGGCTCCTTCTAGAGAGACCTGGGCCTTTACTACACATAGGAGCTGACTGGTAGTTAGATCACTGGCCCAATCTAGACCCTGAAATCCCAGTTCTAAGCCCACTCTCAAGGCAGAGACAATCTGTTCAGGAAGAGAACTCTGCAACATAGGAACAGGATTTGGAAGACTCACATGTCACTCTGCTGTTGTTTACCTGTGTGTCTTAACCTCTGGGCGCTGACTAAAAGTGGGTGAGAAGTGGCCTTGTCCTACCTGGCCGCAGCCCCAGCACTCACAGAGAAAATGCCCTACAAGTGTTCTGTAAAGCTTAGGGCTCTGTGCCCAGGGGACTGTAATTAGGAGCTCCTCAAAATTCTTCACACAGAGAGTACCCTCAGTGAGGAAGGTGAAAGGTCCTCTGACCCCAGGACAGGGTCAAGACTGCTAAGTAGGGAAGGGCACTGAAAAGAACAAAACTTGGCAGGGATGGAGATGAGGTGATGCCATCTCTCTCTTGGAATAGGACAGAACAGGAAGAGGTAGGACAATACCTGCCCACCCCCGAGGTTTAAGGTCTTTGTCCAAGAACCTAGATCCTGCCTATCTTCTCAAATATGGCCCCCAGGTCATTTTGGGGTTTTGTTTTCTGTCTTTTGCACCACTAGGGACCAAACCTGAAGCCTTGTGTATGCTAGAGAAGTCTTCTGCCACTAAACTACATCCCCAGCCTTTTCTATTTTTACGTTTAGACAGGGTCTTACTAAGTTGTGCATGCCTGGAATGCACCATCCTCCTGCCTCAACTTCCCATGTAGTTGGGATAGGAGTGTGATCACCACACCCAGCTCCCAACTATGCCTAGGGCCTCTCAAAGGAAGGCAGATCATAGACCTGCAGAAACTAAGTCAAAAGCTTTCATCTTAAACTCCTTCCTAGCAGGGAGTCTGGGACCTACACACAAGGCTGATTGAGCAGGAAGTTCCAGCTGCCAAAGCCACCCCCCACTCCAACCCCCAAGTCTGTCACACCACTGCAAAGGACTACCAGGGATTCACTGGAAGTGACATGCAGGAAGGAACTGCCACATTCCTTCAGGCCAGGTTCCATCTCCCTGGCCCTGTGCCAGAAGTTTGCATCCATAGCACCACACATGCATACCACATTCACACAAGGAGTTAACCAAAAGCCAGATGGGCCCACTCCATCAACTCCAAGATTCTGGTGCTTCATCCTTCCTCTTAACTGTCACTCACTGTCAAGACTGCCTCAGTAGGCAGTGAGCTGCCCAAGGCCTTGACCCCCAAGTACAAGGCACTTTCATCCCCTGACCACCTAAAGGTCTCTGGTTCGAAAACAGTAACCACTAGAGCTAGCCCCAGGGAATACAGTCGGAAAACACAGATCTGGGCACAGAGAATACAGATTCTCAGCACAGTACAAACCTCTGGCCAGGTGTCTTCAACAGCATAAGAACATGCTACAGAACAGTCTGGGTATAGATACAGAGAACTACAAGGATGTTAGTAAGACTCAGTCACCAAAGGGTCTTTCCTTAGCCATAAGACCTGAGGGTTGCAGACTGCAGACAGATACCCACCCCAGAAGTACAAAACCATGTAGCTAAGTCCTCACCAAGATAGGCACTGCCACACCACACCATGAACTGAAAATGGTGCAGAGATGCAAAGTGGGAGCCACACCAAAGGGTGCAGGGTATGCAGCCCAGGAGCCACCTCAAAGACACCCCTCTCCTGAAGAGACTCAACACAAGACAGGAACAAGCAAACGTCAAGGATAGTGGCAGCTGAGCCCCAGCTCTGGGATGTGGTCCAGCAATGCATGAGCCCAGATGTCAGACACCCCTCTACCAGCCAGGGGGTCCGAGATCTAGTGTCCTGAAAAGAGGAAGCAGAGACGGAGAACACCCTGAGTCTGTTTGGTATCCCCACAACTCCATTCACATACTTCACATGCACTCTTAGCTTCTGCACACGCAAACACGTGTGCACACACACCTCTTCTGCACCCACACCCACACCTACTCCTTGTTACGGAAGACAGCATCCCTGACAGAAACCTAAGGCATTCCCTCCCGCATCCCTCCCTGCACCACTCAAGCCAGCCAGCCAGCGAGCCCTGGGACCGAGTTCGAGGGGTACCACTGCAGAGAGGGTGCTGCCGGCAGAAGGGGGCCTCTTTCTGACGTGTTCAGTGGCCCGGAAAGGAGGTGGGGAAAGCCCATGCCTGAGGCCAAGTACACTCACCTGGAACAGCAGCGGAAGCTTGAAAGCTAGCTCGCTTCTTAAAGGGATATTTGGCCTTGGGCTTGCCAGAGCCAGGATAGGATGCCATGGCTGCGGCCAAGGCGACAGCTGAGGAGTCTGAGCAGCACCGGCTGGGACCAGGCTCCGCTACATCCAACCCCTTCCTACGCCCCGCCCCCAGCGGGAGTGACTGATGCAGGAAGCAGCGCCCCGCAGGCGGAAGAGGCCCTGGCCACGATTTCTGGTGTTGTCTAGGCAACCTCCGGGAGTGGGGCCTCCATCCTGCCCCCTATCCCCCCCTTCCCTCTCCAGTCCCTGGAGTGACGTTGATTGATGGTGGCTGAGACTGGAGGACGGAGGGGGGCGAGGGGCGAGGGGGCGTTAAGAGTAGAGAAAACAGAAGCAGCGTCAGCCTCCAGCTCTGCACTAACCTCCCGGCTTCGGGAACCCTCATCCCCTGCCAAGGCTTCAAGGCAAAGAAGCCAAAGTCCAGGCTACTGGCAGGTCCAGCCAGCTTCGGGGGGAAAAAACGATAATAAGCATGAATTCTGTGTGAGCTTTTCCAAGCTCAGAACCCATTCCCTCTAGGGGCAGGACAGAAGTACTCATGAAAAACCGGCGCCTCTGAGCAGATTCCCCCTTTTCTTCTCCATGTGACCCCTGCTCCAGGGACAGCCCAGTTCTGGGAGGAGGGGGCAGAATCAAGAATCTCAGCTCTGGAGGGAGGAGCCTGTCTTGGGAAAATTCCACTGTCCGGCAGAAGCTGCCTCCCCAGAAGGACCCGAAGAGCAAGAGGCAGGGGCCTGCCTGGGGTCTGTGGGGAAAGACTCGGCCCTGACTGGTCCCTCCCTACACACTCGAACTCTGTTTCCCAGGCTCTCCTAGAAGGAGATCACATCCTCCCGGTCTGGCGGCTGTCCACAGACCCCCACCCTCTTGTCACTCCGATCACGACACCTCTGTCCCGGAGTTCCTATCCCCGCCAACACACGCGCCGTACCCTTACCTGAGGCCATGCTGCCCGAGTCTCTAGGGGAGCCGGAGAGCTGCCCACGAGGGTCTGCGCGGCGCGGAAGCCCGGCTGGGGGAGGGGAGGGAGAGCGGATGGGGACCCTGAGCCCCGCCAAGCGGCGTCGCCACCCCGACCCCGACGGTGAGAAGCGGGAAGGAAGGTAGTTTTTCAAAATGGCCAGCTGGTTGAAGGCAGACTCCCGCAGACCTCGGCGGTCAGACTGACCGTAGGAGACCCCGGCGTCTTGACCCCTCAGCACTAGAGAGAAAGTAGACCACGTGCTCCCCAGAAAACGGGACCCGGAATTCGTCTAGGCTTCTTTCACCACTTTCTGGGTATTTAGGGACCCGACTCTCGGGGCTGGAATGCGGGGGGGTCACGCAACAAGTGCGACCCCGAGGAAACCTCGGGGGCGTCGCGCCAGCCTCTGCGGCCTCAGGCCCCCTTCAGGTCCGCAGCCCCGCCCCGCTCGGCCACGCCCCCGGCCACCAGGCCCCGCCCCCACCACTTTGCCGGTTCCCTAGCGCCACGTGGGCAGCCACGGGGCCACTGTTAGCCTGGCTTGGCCTTGGGTCTTGGGCAAGTTCGGTGAGTCAGCTTCCTCATCAGTAAGATGGATGGAGTAATTGACAGTACCTCACCCCAAGGGGTTATTGAGGATTGAATGTAAGGCTCCTTTGCATAATGCCTGACACAAAATCAGGTAGCTATTATTAGGGTCCCAGGATCCATTTTAATAAGCAGAAGTCCAGCCCCTACATTCTCTGCATTCCCACCTGAGTCTGTTTCTTGTAGCAGGTATTGAAATGCAGGGTGTGCCGTTTAATGCAGGCTCTTCTTCTTATAGCTGGTGTTGAAGGTAAACTCTGTGGCCAGGAGGTCTAAGTTCAAACTCAGGCTGCTACTCCTACTTCCTGACTAGCACTGAACAACTTACGTAACTTCTCTGTGCTTCTGTTTCATCTGCGAAATGAGTGTACGAGTACGTGCTCTATAGGAGGCTAGTTAGGATAAATTAAGTGCTTAGAGCTGTGCCTGACCTGTAACTTACTACTCAATGTTCACGTTATCATTGCTTTGGCCTGGGATCCTTATTGTCAACTCATTGACTGACATTGTCTCAAAACTGAATTGAGTTATCTGAAGGGCTACGGTCATCTGATCCAACCAACATTCCCATCCCCAACAGGTGGAGAGTCCTACCTAAAGGAAACCAGTAAAGTCCCCACACTAAATGTAATTAACTTTTATCAGCAGCAGTTGGACCCTTCCCTATTTTCTCCCTTGTGGGAGCCCTCTGCCCTCACATCCAGCTGCTCCAACGCTGTTTGTGCAGCTACTTCCAGTCTTAACACCCCCAGTTCTTATCACCCCACACCTAGTTCCTTCCCTCTTCTCTCCTGACTCTGGATTCTGGATCCTGAGCCCAGTCCAGTCCTCTTAAAACAAACATTAAAAATCATTGCCTTGCATGTTCAATCCCCAACACTACAAAAAAGTAAAAGAAACAAAAGAAAACAAACCAATACCCCCTACCATGTCCTCCATGAACATGGCGGGGAGGGGAAGTCCAGCTCACAGAGAATCAATAAGACTAAAAAACAGGAAAGACTGAAAGCATCCTGACACAGACAAAGGTATAATGAACCGGGACACACACATTCAATGTGTGAACACAAACACTGATATATCTAAGAACCATTTAGTAATACATAATAAGGGGTCTCAAAATTTAGTGTTTTGACTCAGTAATTCACTTCTAACAAATCACTTTCAAAAAGAGCAGCCAGAAAAATATCCACAAAGCTGTTCATTATTGCAATATTTATCACAGAGAATTTGGAAACTTAAATGTCCAGCAAGGGGGAATGTTTATATGCATACAATGAAATACAGCCGTTAGAATTTTTTTGGAGAATTTTTTTAATGATGTGAAAATATTTACAAAGTGTTAGATTTTTGGAAAATAAAAAGAAAGATGGAGGAGTAGGAGACAAGAAATCAGAGCAAGACCTGCAACAGGCAAAGAATTTATCTTCCTTTATTCAAAGAAGATACAGTGAGAAGTGCAGGCTGTCCACGGGAACCAAGCACCTACAACTAGACAAGAAAATGGGAGTTTTTATACCAGGGTTGTGAGACAGCTGCACTTTGTGCAGTTGAGCTCGTGTGGAGTTGAGTTAGTGCCTGGGCTTGGTGTCCTTAGAGTGATTGAGGGTCTCCTCAAGATTATTTCCCCAGAAACTGGCAGAAGTGTTTTCTATGGCTGTAGAGGAGACAGGTGGGCTCCACAAACACTTTTTCTCAGGCTTAGGAGTGACCAACTGGTAAGGGGTGAGCAGAACCAGGCCTCTAATCTATAGCCCTTACTTAGGTCACTGGGGGAACTTTGTACTTTTATAATGTAGAGCCCTTCGGCCACTCTGATGGTTTTATACCTTTATGGCCTCCTCTAATGAAGCTCATGGCTTTCCTGAGGTTCACATATTCTACAATAAGGTTAGGTGAAAGAATGGATGCAAAGAATTGTACAGTATAGTCCTAATTATGTGACACATAGGATATGCCCAGAAAAAAGTACACCAAAAACTTTACAAATGACTATCTGAAAGTAATGGAATTATGGGTTATATTTTCTTTATACCTATTCACATTTAAAAATTTAGTTCCCTACAGTATTATCAAGACAATAGAAATCAATAAAAATCCTCCAGAATTCTCTAATCACCTCCTCAAGGACATAAAAAGTAAGCTATTCTGAATATAGTCCCTAAATTACTCCTAGGGTCTTTTAAGAATTTTGAGAGTGTCAGCTGTCAAGAATAAGTAAAATAAATCCAAAAAAAGCACCATGTGACCATATAGATGGTCACCTATATTTTGGTAAGATGCAAATTTTGACATAATTTTAAGGGTCACAGGCTTGCATTGACCGGGCCTATAGTGGATCCCTTAATTCAGATCTACCTACCTACCCAGCCAACAGATGGCAATCCTGCCCTCCACCCAACCCAGGCAAACGAGTTCATTAATGCCTTCGTGAGCCTCCCTAGTCCCAACAGAAACATACCCTTTACTATATAATCGTCCTGTATTTCCAGGCCATCTGGTATGTAGTGGCAGTTAGAAGTCTGTCCTGGTTCCTGTTAAGCATCAGTCTCCCACCTACTCAACACAGGCAAGAATCTCAGTGGGGTTTCATTGGCTATGAAGAGCAGAGCTTGAAAATCAAGGTGTGAGTCATTCTGTGGCTGTGGACTCTCAAATTGAAACCTAAATGTTTGAACTTCTGGGATCTTCCCTGCCTCTAAACGCAGCTTCCTCCTCCCAGCCTATTTCCACCATGCTGGCTCTCAAGTGGCCCTCCCTGAACCCCACCCAATGTCAGCACTCCCTTATTTCTCTGGAAGGGCCGTTTCTCTTTTCTGGCCTTCAGCTCCTGGATATATCACCTTGCTAGAACAGAGCACTCCAAAGCAGACTTGGGAGAAAAACTTGAAGCTTCCAAAAGACACTTGCCCAGGGCAATTTCCTAAGCCCCATCCTATTTCTCAGACCTTTCTAGAATCAAAATGTTTAGTTTCTCTGCTTGTCCCTGCAGCCAACTCCTCTTACTTGCTCACCTGTCACCCAACACTGTGTTAACAGCACTATGCCATTGTCTATCTGCACTTGTTTGTAAGTCCTCAATGAATTTCAGCCAAACCCTTTTACCCATCACTAAAGGTCCTTCCCTAGCTGGCCTCAATTTCCCTTCCTTGTCCTCACCTCCCTCCCAGCTGTCCTTTCCTTTCCCCTCACCTCAAACATTCTAGTCTCCCTGAGCCCACTCTATCCCTGCTGTTTTTCACTCTTTCTTTCTCTTATCAGATGCACAACCTCCACTTCTGATGTTTCTGATGTTCAATCACCCCTTCAATTTTAGGGGCTTTGTTATTCGAAAGTCTCCCTCTGTAGCTCAGGATGACTCATTATTTTCTAGCTTCAGCCTACTGTATGCTGGGCTACAGGTATGAGCTGCTGGCTTTCACTCCCTTTTTTCCATCAGTTGGATGTGCATATGCTTGCCTCTTACAAGGGGGTGGGAACAAGGTTTTCCATAGCTTTGAATTTCCCAGCATTAGAGTGTCTCTTTGTTACTCTTAATTTCCCCAGCCTCTTCCTGTGAGCTGGAAGTTCCTAAAGGCAATTCTGTTGTGTCCCACACTCCATCTGGGGGACAACCTCTCACAAAATATAAGACAGATCCAGAGATCTCCTGCACGCAAGAAAAATACCCAAATTCCTTGGGAAACAGTGATTTCTTTTACTCAAAATGATATGCCTGTCAAGGTTCTGATCCATACAACCTCAAATACTCCTGACTGCAGCTTTACCTTCTTCACTGGGACGCTGTCCCTAAAAGT